AAGGGCACAGATGGGAGAAAATGGCGAGAACCCCATGTTCTCTGACATCAACACCTATGACCTTTTTGTGTGGATGCACTACTATGTGTCCCGAGACGCCCTCCTGGGAGGACCAGGGAATGTATGGCAAGATATCGATTTTGCTCATGAATCTGCAGCATTTCTGCCCTGGCACAGAGTCTTCCTGCTTCACTGGGAGAATGAGATCAGGAAGCTAACAGGAGATTTTAATTTCACCATCCCATACTGGGACTGGAGGAACTCCCAGACCTGTGACGTGTGTACCGATGCCCTGATGGGTGGACGCAACTCCCTTAATCCCAACCTCATCAGCCCTGCCTCTGTCTTCTCATCATGGAAGGTAAGAAAAATTGATCCTCATGCCCTGGGTTTCAGTGTGTCTTAGAGTAGAAATACCCATATTTGATTATATGTGGTCCTTTAAACAGTTTTTATACATTAACTCACTGAAAGTTCATTTTCTTGTAAAAACAAGCCCACAGGATTAAGTTGGTTCATCCTGTTAATCCAACTATTTGAGAGATTTTTATTAAAAAGTTGTGATTTTTGAAAGCAGCATTGTTCTGAATACTCAGAGAGTTCCATTAGTTTTCACTAATTTCACTATTAATGCTCAAAGCTGCTCAGAGGATCCACACTATTGTAAGAAAGCCATATTAAAGCCTTATGGAGGCCCGCAGGTTTGTGAACTATAACAGCCCAGGAAACATGTATGTTTACACTTTTGCATTTATACATTTGTGTAGGTTATCTGCACCCAGTCAGAGGAGTATAACAGCCGAGAAGCATTATGTAATGCCACAGGGGAGGGTCCATTGTTACGTAATCCCGGCAACCATGATACCAATCGTGTGCAACGACTTCCCAATTCAGATGATGTGGAGTTCGCTGTGGGCCTCCCCGAGTACGAGACAGGACCCATGGACCGATTTGCCAACATGAGCTTTAGAAATGTCCTAGAGGGTAGGAGTGAGAGGCAGACACGCACATACATTTGTGTTAGTCCTCTCTTCTTTCATGTTTAATCACCAAAGTTCAGCTTAATCTTACTAAGCTTGTGAATGAGCACTGGCACATTGGAAGCACAAAAGGTAGATACAAACCAGTGTGTGTACAAGGAATTGCAAACTCTAATGCAGACTTCGACACTAAAACCTGCTAGTTATTTTATGTATTTATTGTTGGAGTTTAACACATCCTGCACACGTTATATCATTAGACGTGCCTCCAGTTTTGTTGTAAATCACAGGCTGTCCCTTAAGCTGAAGGAGTCCTGAATTAAATTATATCAAGTGCATATGAACGAGGTGTGAAAGAGAACATTCTTTCATCAGGACATCAATTTTGTTAAAACTTCAAATGTATTTAATATGAAAATGATTCCCCCGTTGTCTCAGAGAACTTTTGAAATTAATTATAGTAAATTACGTTTTTTGGTCGCACAGGTGAGCTGTAAGACCTTTAAGTCGTAATTTATCTCAGTTCCTTCTCATTTTTGTTCCACCAAGCTCACGTTTTTCTCTGCACAAACACTTTTCTCATATAAACCTACAAACTGTTTACTACTAAATTCATCCCTGAGCGTTATCTTCTTGTGTAAACATTGTTGCCATTCTTGTTTCATGCACCTTCTGCAGGTTTTGCAAGTCCACAGACGGGTATGGCCGTGTCAGGCCAGAGCACCTTGCACAACGCCTTGCATATGTTCATGAACGGTTCCATGTCATCAGTACAGGGTTCAGCTAATGACCCAATATTCCTGCTACATCATGCTTTCATTGACAGGTATAGTAACACTTATCCGCCCATATTACTGGCAAAAGGCAAACTGCACACACTGGGTGTAATGCAGTGAAAAAGATAAAACTAGCGAGACCAAGAGAAGATGTAAGGATGAAAAGTTGCATATCATGTAGAATCATGATATATATTCAATTTTTTCATGCAAGTTTTTCTTTCTGTCCCTTTTCTCTTCTTATTAACTTCTTCTCTTCATTAGTATCTATGAGCGCTGGCTCAGGAACCACCAGCCTCCACGAAACAGCTACCCACGTACCAATGCCCCTATTGGTCACAATGATGGCTACTATATGGTTCCCTTCCTGCCTCTTTATAGAAACGGAGATTATTTCCTGTCCAATAAGGCTCTTGGATATGAATATGCCTATCTGTTGGACCCAGGTCAGTGCATAACTGTAAACATACCTCCTAAATGACCTTTTCTTTAAGCTTTACTGTCCTATCCTATTTGTCTCACCATAGGTCAGAGGTTTGTTCAGGAGTTCCTGAACCCCTACCTCCAGGAGGCACAACAGATCTGGCAGTGGCTCGTGGGTGCCGGGATTCTGGGAGCTCTGATTGCTGCAATCATCACAGTAATCATTGTTTTTGCAAGACGGAAATGGAAGCGCAATCAGAGGAAGAAGAGAGCATCAAGCTACGGGGAGAGACAGCCATTACTGCATAGCAGCTCAGAGGAAGGATCATCTTCATATCAGACCACTCTGTAACACAGATACTGCACAACCCTGTGATGGTTATGAAGCCAATTAAAAACAAGAATCTGATTATGTTTTTTTTTAAATATATTCATGTACAGATGAGCCAGTGAAGCAACTTTTTTTAAAAAAGGAAAATGCAGTTCATCCAAACAAGAAAAAACATATTTACACCTCAGTGTCTTGCAGGTATCTACTATGGAATCAACAGAAAGGAAGTGGGTAGTGGTGATAGCACTGATAAATCACCACGTTAGAAACATAGCTGTCCATGCAGACAGTTACAGGTTTTAAAAATAACTTTACATGGGTTTGCAGGATTTGTCTAATCTAATTAGGGTAGACAACAAGAAGCAACTTCCTTTGTATTAGCGTGATGGGGACAGGTGAACCAAACCTTTAAGATTTGAGACCATTTAAAAAGAGACTATGAGCAAACAGCAGGGAGCTGCCACTGGGAGGATCACCTTAAAATGTTTTGCATTCAGTCGGCACACATTCGGAATAGAAAAATTATTTTGGGATTCCTTGAGGAAATAAAGCTCAAAGTAGTTTTTCTGATGTAGTTTTAACTTCCGGGGTTTTGTGAAAACTGCGATAAATGTAAAAAATGCACATTAACCACTGTTGTGAGTTTAATTTGGGTGGTTAAAAATATGATTTCAGAGAAAACACTGACTAAATTTCTAATGTACTCTCTACTGTATTTGAACTGATGCTAAAATACAGCGTGCAGTTTTGCTTGCAATCCTCTCACAAGCAAATTAACTGTAGTTGTTACAGTGCTTACAAAGATGAATCATGAGTCTGTACATGCTTCATTAAAAATCTAACTTGATGCAAATTTGCTGCTTATTTTTTATGCAATAATGTTGATAACCACTTTTAAAAATAACTAGGAAATTGTGTGTTTTGCAGCATGGTGGCAGAAATCTGCATGTAATGCTGATTGACTGGGCTGTTCAGTTACTGCACTGCAGTGCGATGTTTGAGTGGTCATTAAGACTAGAAATGTATTGTTTCAATTATAAATAAATGTAAAACTAAATGATTGAAAACAGTACATTTAATAAAGATGTAATAAATATAAACCATTTATTTCATACTTGTGCCAAAAAAGAAAGTTGATCTTAAAGATTTAGATAAATGTCAAAAATTTCAAATTATAATTACAATGTTTACTCAGTTGATCAAAAAAAAATCAAGATGTTTATTCTTTGTAGAAACCTCCATTCTCCAGTTTGTGGCACTCAAAAAAAAATCAGAGCTTGTAAACATGACAAATACTAAAGTAAACCAGTAAATCATCATAACCTGAAATATGCTTCCATTATATGAGATTGCCAAAATCCTGCAGAACCTTGACATGTCAAATTGTAATTTATTTTAAACAATATAAATAAAGTAAGCAACAAAAAAAAGTTTAAAAAAAAAAAAGAAGCTTGAGGTGTAGTGGTGTGTAAAGACTGCATCATCGTGTGCCCATTTTTAAACCACACTGTCTCAGACTCTGAGATAAGTGTTGTAATACTTTTTTCTGCCTCTTAGTTTTGTCAAATGTCACACTTCCCTCCAGGCTGTCTACAAATCCTTCCACAGCGAGAGAAAAAATACAGACCCGTAACAATCTGCAGAGACCTAAAATCCTTGCCCCCTTTTCTGAGCGTTTAAACGTGCTAAACATACAGTGCTTGACAATTTTCTTCGACCATTGCCCCAGTGTAAATTTAGCCCACAGTTGCCCTAAATTAACAGCACTGGTAATTACTAAAATCATTTTTATGTTGCTGTAATAGTTGATTCACCAGTATGCACAGCTTCTTTAATAGAAATACCTTTAATGCTAAAATATAATTATTGTTATTATCCATTCATTTTCAGGTTTATTGCTTTACAAAAGTATCAAAAAATAGTAAAGCACATTATTATTATTATTTTTGAGTACAATACCAAATTACACTTAATTACGTGAACAGAGAAATCAGTTTTAGTGGTTTAATGTCTAATAAATTTGTTAAGCACTGTATTTGAAGAATGTGATCATCATTTAGTCAGCGTTCATCGACAAATCCAGGGTGATTACAACTTGGTAATAAGCAAGACTTAAGAATGTGTGAGCAGTATATTTTAGATGCTGACAAAACAAATGTTGGGCCAGTTGATTCTGGATGTAGAAGATATCCATATATTTTGGATATTTAGAACTAGGTGGGGGCTTGGCTCTTAAGTCTCTTAATACTGTGATAAGATCAAGCTTGACTTGTGTGAGTCTGCAGTCGAGTAAAGGTCAAATAAAGTCTTGTTTCACTGGGCTGCGTTTATCAGCCCGCCACCTCCTAAATAAAAACTGTTTCATCCCTGAGTGATGTTTCAGGCGCTGGTCTGCAGAGCAATTCCCTCATGGTTAATGCCTTGTTGTGTTTGTGGTTGAGGGCATTTTAGGGCTGAGTCACACCTTTTTCCTCACACTCGACTCCAACATGAGAATGCAATTTTACTCCACAGAGGGGTGCAACAGGGCAGGGATGATACAGCAGCTTCAGGAGACTCCAAGCTTTTCTCACATGTTGATTGGGTCACAAACCAAAGTTGAAGCTTATTTAAAGCACCCAACAGGCTGTTTCGATGTGCCGGACCTTTAGAAAACATGTACAGAGATTGAATATAAATATAGTCTATCATTATTTAACTTTACAGTCAGTATTTATATCAAATGAAAATCCATCCAAGATTTTTTTAAGCAACCATGATTGTCCAAAGGTACTAAGAACTTTAATTTAACTAAAAACTTTTCCCATGATTGAATGAGAAGCCATCCACCCCAAAGTAGATGACTTCTACTGATATGCCCTGACAGTGTAGCACCAGCTCTAAAGTTTAATCAGCTGAACGACTCTTTGTTGAATTCGAATGTTGTTCCATTGTATTGAGCTGAGTTACACAGTCGGTGGAGAGTCCTGGAGATGCCCTTCGGTCCGCAGCAGAAAACACCAACACGTTTACTGAAACCACAGAGAAATCAATTTTAACAACAATGTTATACACACGTTTCTACAGCTGCGAGACTCACTGGATAGTCCCAATGTACTCACTGTTTGTTGGATTTTCCAATTTCATCAAAGAGTAACTTCCACCTGGGCCGACCAATCTGCATCCTTGATGTGAGTGGGCGGTACTTCTCCTCAGACATGCTCTGCAAAAAAAGCATAAAAAACTAGGATGCTTTGAATTCACATTTGCATTAGATGTTACATAAAGTTAATGCTATTACTACTACAGAAAAAAACATAACAAAGAAACATTTATGCTGTTTATGAGAAACATTTTTTGTTTGAGACTTCTATCAGATAAAGTGTACATCTCTCTAAATCAAAAAAGTGAAAAAGTCTGTTTTTTTCTCCTATTTTCTCCTAGAGGCTAAAAGAATGTGGTATCAAATTTAAGGGCCACCAGTGCTGGACATAGCTGTGTTAGTCTACTGTTAGTAGAGCAAAGGAAATTTAGTCACAAAAAGGTGAATGTAAATGAAATGGGAATCAACCAATAAACTGGCTGGTTTGGTGAACCTTAACACAGTTGGAAATTTGGAGCTTTTGGACATTTATTTTATTTTTATTGCAACAAAGGACAATTCAAATGCAATCTGCGTCCAGGACAGCAACAACCACAGTCCACAGTAATGTAAAGAAGAGTTTAACAAATTACTTTCATAGCTAAGTAGTTAAGTAATGTATCCTGTTATTTTTGAGAAAAGCAATGAATAATGTGCCAAACATTTTTGAGTAACCCCAACGCTGATGGGAACACCCAGCGATGTTGTGTGATGCTAAACGGACAAAAAGAAATTTACTCCCCGTCGGGGAATCGAACCCCGGTCTCCCGCGTGACAGGCGGGGATACTAACCACTATACTAACGAGGAGATAGCAAGAGATCGGCGTATGCCATACAAAAACAGAACTCGGTCACTGTGACGTTATGCCTGCTTGTAATGTATATTTATGGCAATACGTCGATTATATGTCCCGTAGCGGACACGGCTAGCTTCAGAATCGACGGCTAACTACTTCCTGTTATACGTCTCTGAAGCTCGCCGCTCGGGCCGCACGCTTAGTTTCTATACTGTAATGTAAATTCTCGGTGCACAAGTCACCGAGGTCACAAAATTTAAAAAAATGAATGAAGTAGTTACTCGGACCAGAGAGGACCCCAGAGGACTCGAGGCTCCGGACAGTTTAAAATAAGCAAGGGTCCGACTGACGTAAACTTCGTAATCAGACGTCCACCGCGAGAGTCGCACGAATACGTTCAAAACTCCTCAAAATGTTTTCAATAAACTAACATAACAGAATTATTTTCTCTATATTGGCTGGCTGTTAAATCGCCTAAAAGAACAAAAGCGTTTGCTTTAATGGAACAGTCTGGAAAACATGCAACAGATACACTTAAAACTGTCCGCTGTAGCTTCTCTCTGTTTGTAAAGCACCGCCCTCTAGTGGGTGGAGTTCTTAAAATCTAACAAAAGATAAACCGAGAAGAGCAACAAAATTACAAGATTAGCAAAGAGAAACACTGATGTGTGTGTGTGTGCGTGTTTGTGTGCCACAATTACCTGCAAGCTGTCTGGTTGACTGATATACAGTTTCAGATTAAAGTAGTCCGGTCTGTTTTCGTTCCAGAGCTAAATGAAAAACATGGTTTGTAGTGTTGCTAATGTGTATTTGATTTCATTCATAAAGTACAATACAGGATATAAATGCAGCGTTTATTTTCTAGGTTTTTCTGACATAAAGAAGCAGAGGTGAGACTACAAAGGTGAGACAAAACCCAGCAAACCAAAAACAGAGGCTTTTTGCTCAAGTCTACAACTTCTAATGTTTGTAACTATAAATCTGCTGTCTCACAGACACATAAACCTCTGACCTTCGTCTGCCGAATGCCACAAACATTTAGAAAACTTGAATTATAGCTTGCCATTTAATTCCAGCATGATTAATATAACATGAAGGTTCTAACAGCCAGAGTTTGTCCTGACCTTGTGATGCAGAGCACACAGCAGCTCTGCGAACCAGTAAAAGGACT